TTATACATAATGAAATAATGAGAATTCTAACTGTTTATTATTATTTTTTTCGCCTTAATTTAATTTATTTTTTCGTCTTTATTTTTAATTTTTTTCATCTTGATTTTTTTTTTTTTCGTCTTTATGATTTTATTTAATCGGATTGACATGACTGACAAATTTTTGCGCTGCAACTTTGCTACTTCCTTGAGTTATGACTGTTGGAACCGTAGCTTGATCAGTGGCTCCTATAGCAATACTCAATAAGTCAAATATATATAGCGCGATGTCACGTTTAAATTTAGTCGTGCGCGACATCGCATATCGATATGTTTTGATGACGATAATGAGTTATTAAGCCACAGCTCAATTTGCTTGTGCCACTCGGCTCAATACCATGGTTTCAAGCTGATAAAAATTTTAATGCTAATAATTTTAACAGCTATTTATTTTAAATAGCTGCGTGATATATGTTTAGTTCTGCAAATTTTACAATTTGATCCTGCTGTAATTTTTTAATTTTTTTACTTAATTAAACTCGTACAGTGTAAAGGAGGAAATTGCCTACTCATTGAATTCAGAAAATTCGGGTAATTTTAATAATTCCAATAGTTATTAGAATTTATGGAATTGATAGAATAAAAGAAACAGAATAATTGATAGAATAAAAGAAACAGTTAGAATTCTCATTATTTCATTATGTATAACAGAGCAATATATAAGTAGCGACACTTTCCCTTCAATAAAGTTAACTCTCAATTGTCGAAGTTCCAATGATAAAATCCAAGTGTTGTAAGTAATTGAATCGAGTAGAAATTAATGAATCGTGACTAACCCTAATAACTCGGACCAAATCTTTCCACTCCTCGATCGATGCCTTCCGATATTAGTAGTTTAATGTAGTATTTTAGGATTAGTTATTAGTTATAGTATATCTTTCCGGAGCTAGCCGCCACATTTACAAAGAAGGTCTCCAAAATTCCGAAAATTTGGAGACCTTCCCGTTAATCAGAATTGTATAGGTCATCACGTGCAAACGTAATTTGTATCACAAATGTAGCGGTCAACAAATATGTCCCCCTTAATCCTTGTGCAACTGTATCGATTAAGGGATTAATAATCATTTAGCTATTGAAATTTATATATCTTTTATGAAAAAATCGTTTTTTTTTGAAAACCTTTTCCTATTAAAACATTCTTAAAACAAAGTATTTTGTTACATGTTATTAAACTAAGTAGCGCTTAATATGCTTTTAGTTTAACTGTTTCATTTTAAATGTTATAACACTTCTGGTTCTTAAAGAATCTTCACTCAAAGTTACACAAATTCCGGCATTAACATAGCATTTAAGTTTTCGTTGAACTTTGATTTTATTTTTTCTTAAAAATGCTAGTATAGCTTCAGAAGCAGACAATAATAAAAATTTTCTTAGTGATTTAATTAACAACTTCGAATATGTACCAGAAAATGATATAAAAGACGTTGAAAGCATGGGATTAGCAAGCGAAAGTCTTATGTCTGATGGAATTGAAACAGGAAATATTGACAATAATTTAGACGTTGATGTAGAAATTAGTCCCTTTCTTTTTGACAAAATTAGTTTTGAAAGGGCATGGGCTTTGGTAGAAGAGGAAGAAACCAGCGATCTCATTTTTTTAAATAACATAGATAATGATGATATTGATGCAGATAGTAATGATACAACATCATTAGAATTTGATTCAAATGAAAGTGAATACTTAATTGAAAACTTAGCATTAAAAAAAGGTACTTGCAAAATATTAACACCATGTCCAATTATAGATATTGATAATGGTCGTATTCAATGCTGTTTAACTGAGTCATCAAGATGGCTTACTCAACTTGTTGGTTCATGGGAAATTGATGAAACAATTTTTCTTCAGGCACAGAATATGAACAAGCTGTCGATAATAGAAGTCTGCTAGGCTCATTTAATTTTGATCAAAACCAGCTACATGCTCGAAGTGCTAAGCAAGAGTGATCAATTGAGAAGAGTTGGGTTTTTTGTCGACATTGTTTGTTTTGTAATAAGTCTAAATATTTTTTTAGTAGGGGTAAAACATGTGTACAATATTCAAACTGTATATTTGGAAAAAATATTCAAATACCCTGTGTTGGGTTTATAGTATATCAATATTCGAAAAGAAAGTAGAACCAAAAACATTTAATAATGATCCAGAAACTGAATATAGGCCTCAATATGTTTGTTCTGAATGCTTTGCTGCTCATAGGGGACATTTTTATGAGAAACAAGATCGTGGAAGTGAACCTTTCAAATATGCAGATATGCATAATAATGATACAAGTGAGGCACTTAAAATTTTAGATCACTGGATTTTATATATAGCAGAGACCACTGATAATAAAAAAAAATAATCTTTTAGTAAGTCTGGTTTCAGTTTTACAAACGTTTTTTAATACAAAATCTTATAAAGAATCTGTAAGCCCTTCTAGTCTTTTTTTTGTTAAGGCAGCCTTAAGGTTAGAGCATGTCCATTTGAAAAAGATCATTGAAAAAAATATACTATTACTACTGAAATAGCTGTTGATTTTAGAAAAGCACTAGGAACTGCAATATAGAATGCGCAAAGTAATGTACAAAAAAATAAATTAAAGCTTGAGAGCCCTATATCATTAGTGCAATATCAGGAAGGGTTTTCTCAATTCTTATTAAATTTTTTTAACAGGTTTATAGATATATTGCAAAGAAAAAAACATGCAGTAGTGACAAAAAAAAGAAAACAAGGGGCTTCAATTAAAAGTTTTTGATGTAAGCTATATAACTAAGATAGTTATATTTATTATCTCTATAATTTTGAATATAGTATTCCTATGAACAAATATATGGCTTACTCATATTATGAGTTCACTTTGTAGAAAGCCAAAATTGCAATACTGTCTATATAATATTTTATGTATTGCTAATGTGGTATCCTATATCCAACAACATGAAAGACTTTTGGAAAAGGCTCATTTGCATGAAGCAAAACCAGAGAAAAGATTGTTATGAGGCACTAATATATAGAACCTTTTAGTTATTAATAATATAAATTTTTTTGAACAAATGATTATGTATAGAAATATCTATGATGTAACTTGTAAAACAGTATATATGACTTTAGGAATAGTATTTTAATTTGTTATGCTAGAACTAGTTAAATATTATAATTAAAATAACAATCATGATTTTTTAAATCAGTCTTTATTCAGCACTTCTGATTTTATTGATAACTTTCTTTTTTTATATGAAACAATTTTTTAAAAATTTTTGAATACAAATAATAACAATTGGGAAGTGGATAATATTTTAAAAGCGATCTCAGAAGAAGTACCAATTGGATGTAAAATAGAACCATCTAATATTATAATTCTTAAGCCAGATGACAACCCAAATTGTAATGAAAACATTCACAAGGCATGTGATTTATATTATAATAATGTTGGAATAGCAAATACTGAATGCCTAGATATCATATATGACTAGATAATCTATCACCGATTAATTTTATATAAGGAAAAAAACAAAGACAAAGAAATAAAACCTCTCTTGGGTCAGTGGTATACTTCTTGTTACATGTGTAGTACACTTATAAATATTTTTTCAGGATATAGCATAGCTGACATAGTAGCAAAACTCAGTATTCACTTTCTTGATAAATTAGAAAAAGTTGTAGATTACTAAGCCACATATTAAGTTTTAGAATTAATTTGGATTACTGTAGGAATTACTATTTTTAAATACTTAAATAATACTAATTAATCTATAAATAATATTAAAAATAGGGAAAATTATGTTTTAAGAACCTGGTACTATTTTTTTTATTAGGCTAGATATTAGATTGGGTACAAAATTGGAATTCACTGTAGCAATTATAATATGCAAATCAAAAACCTTGTAGCATTTTCTCCCCTTTTTCTTGTTGCAAGAAAAGTTAATTATACTAAGTCTGTAATGCACTTTCTTTATTATATTAATAATGATCAACTTCTCCAGGAGTTGTTATATCTTGTAAGTTCTATAAATATTATATGCCCAGGGTACTTTCTCACATTTAATGAGGTACTTAAATGAGTTAGAGTCTTGCCTGTAAAACAGAATATCAGGAGAAAAACTATGGATCCTGAAGAATTAAAATTGCAGATAGCCTCAATGCTAGCTGAAATAGAAAGATTAAGAATAGTGATTTTAGAATATCTAAGTAAAACTATTATTGCAACTAAGAATAATCAGACTATGCAAAAACAGAATAAAAGTTTATAGAAGCTGTCAGATAAATTGCTTAATGCCTTTTTATTAACTGATCCTAAAATGTATAAATTATTTACAAGAATACAAGAAATAAGTAATATTGGGTTTCATAATATACTAACTTGTTGTAAAAAGAGTATAGCTCAGCTTAAGATAATTTTATACTAAGATATTTGCAAAACTGATAAGCAAGATACAAGAGGATGTCAAAAAAAAAATATTGTAGTACATAAATTAGTAGCTCTGTCATCACCAAAAAATCAAGTTCAACAATCTCAAAGTAATCAGAATAGAAGTGACAATGTGAGACAGCAATCTAATGAAGATAATCAATATGTAAAGTATCAACGTAAATATATAACAAATAGTAAAAAATGATACTTGAAAGTATACTTTCTTTTGATCCTTTTTCTGAAGACATAGTTATCAAAACCTTAAGAAAGCTTTAGAATTGTAGTAATAATTGGGATATGTAGCATATTCAAACATATTAGAAAAACAATTGCATCAACAAATGAAAAAAAACAATTTAATAAAAAATACTATAAAGTAAGTATGAACATTCATTCATTATAAAAACTTTATCAATTTAGAGAAGTACTATTTATAAAGATCAACAAAAATAAGAATAAAGGTCACTGTTATTAAAATAGAATTAGAATTAAAAAGAGTAGACATAAAGAACTTGTTCATTGGTTATCAAAATTCTACTGATGTGAAAGATGTTGCTACAAATTATAACCTTGGACATTGTTATTTAAGAATATAAGAGTTAGAAAGAAGTAGCACAAGGCTTTATTGATTATCAAATCAGTGAAGATAAGAAATAGCAGTATAATAAATATTTTGATTATTACTATTAGTGCAGAAATAGAGCTGAAAAAAGATAAACATCTATTTATTCATTAACAAAAACCTATTAATATTGAAAATTTAGAACCTTAGCATTGCTATAGAATAAATTAGAAATCAAAAAGGATAATTATAAGTAGTTTATCAAAATAAATTAGTTAAAAATAAATATTAGAGAAGGTCTAGTGATCTTAGTGTAGTGGTTAGGTTGCCAGACTGCTATATAAAAGGTCTAGGGTTCAAATCTCATTGTCGATGAATTTGAATAATTACTCAGACCTTTGTACCCAACCTACAGTAAACTCTGCTCATTTTTGGAGGTTACAACTCTGTAAATTATATTGCACCAATATCAATCAGATATTGGAAGTATAATAAAATATTCGAGTTATGTTGCATAAATAAATCTTGATAGAATCTATAGACAGGGGATCTGCATAGTAGAAATTCTGAGTTTAGTGAAGTAGTACAGATTTCGACAGTTAAGCTGGTTAATACCTGATCTAGTGAATAACCTGAGTATGAAGAATGTGAGATCAATAGGTGTGAGTAAGTCTACTGTGTAATGCAGCTGTTGCCTTACATTAGTGGTAACACCAACTTGGCTTAGTAGCTAACTAGATTAGGAGGATCTACTTCATGAAATATCTAGCTTGAACTTGAAGGACTATATCTAGTAGATGGCTATAGCAGGAATAGGTTTGTATGAATATTACAAGGGTCTAATCCAGGTGAATCTGTGAAATGAGCATATGACTACTCTGGTAGAAGCTCTGCAGCTCACAATATGTTAGGCATATACATTCTGAGAAGACCTAAGCTATGTAGAAAATAGATCCACAGGTAAACCAGCAGGCTTAAGCAATCAGTCATAGTGGTGACATTAGTTTGGAATAGTAGGAAGGGTTAATAATTAGAGTGTTTAAATAGATAACTCACAGGCAGGTTGCAGATATGATAACATAGTGTAGAATTAACAAATAGTCAATTATCTGTATAGTGGACTACTTAAATTAGACAATGACTAAAGTTGTATATGTGGCTTATTGTACACTCATCATGTAACTATAAAACCTTAGAAAACTATTTATATGATAGTTCTGTAAATAACAAACTAATAAAATCTAATCAGCTAAGGAAGTAGCCTTAATAATACAAAAAAAAATTAACATTAGAGTTCAATGATTCAGCAGAGGTGAAAAATATTAATAAAATAAGCAAAAATAAACTTGGTTACTAAGTGGTGTCGAAAAATTGAATATAAGGGTATTTGTTCATTAAAATTATATAATATGAAAAATGCTATATAGATATAACAAAAAAAATAGTTGGTTATAACTGTTATGAACAAGTTAAGGAAGCAAAACAGATAGCAATAGAAAAGGATTATTTCATAACAAATGATAACGACAATAATCATAAATATTTAATGATAATTAAGAGGCCAAATATATTATTCAAAAAGAGAGTTAATATAATTATTGAATGTACAGATTTAAAAAAAGGTTAGGAAAATATAATAAATCATCAGAAATTAAATAGAATAATACTATAATTTGAGTAGATATGAAGAATCACTCACAAATCAAATCAATAATAATAATAAGAAGTTAAACTAAACAATGTAGTTACAATAGATAGATTAATTATATATTGCAAAGAAGATCATATTTGGACTTATATTTTATATAGTAATATAAATATTCACTGAGATTTTGTAAGTTTACCATGTCATATATATTTTTATAAATATTTTAAATAATCATAATTTTTAATATATATAAATTTATTCTTTTATAGTGTGAAACATTTATAAATTTAATCAAGAGACGCAAATCACTAACTCTTCCCATAGATCACTTATACTAAAACTTCCCAAAAACATTTGTTCATAACTAAATATTTTACTAAGTAAACCACCTTTAGGCCACTAAGCAAAATTGT